CGTGCAGGTCTTCCAGCACGCCGTGCCCGCCGAGGGCAAGCCCGTCACCAACCAGAAGAACTCCGGTAAGGGGCTGCCGGCGCGGGGAGGAGGGGTGCGCTCTCTCGGCGGCTCTGGCCTTTGGGGAAGGAATGATGTAATGCTGACTGCTCTCCTGGGAGCGGTGGTTTCCTCTGGAATCCTCTCGTGGGGCTCTGAGCAAAGCCGAGTCCCTGCAGCATCCTCCTGAGTCAGTAACAGTCTCCAGACTTGCAGCGTTTCCCTCTTTCCCCTTCTGTATCCCATAGGATAGCATCAGTTAAGATCTGCATTTGCAGTAAAAGGTTTCTGACCTTCTCGTGAGCTGTTTGGTATTTTACAATCCCATCCAGACCCTTGAGGCAGAACGGTGCCATGAATCTTGTGTTTAAAAAAAAAAAATCTGATGCAGCTCTTAAACATTCCAGTTTAATTCTTGTCCCCTTGATCTCTCAGGGAGATGTTGGATCTTTTCCTGTCTCAACGCAATGCGTCTTCCTTTCATGAAGAAATACAACATCGAAGAGTTTGAATTCAGCCAGTCATATCTCTTTTTCTGGGATAAGGTACAGTACAGGTGGTGCCAGGACAGCTTATGCCACTGGGGATTTCTGCTGGGACAGAATTTTTTCCAGGCTGGATGTCTTAACAATCGAGGTGGAAAACATACACGAGAAGAAACTTCAAAGCATCTTTAAATATGTATTGTAAATGTGGGTTGAGCAGAGTGGGGCTTTCAGCTCCCAGTTAGCTGTCAAGATGTTCATGTTTTGGAACAGTGAAAGCTTGCTTTCAGGTGTTGTGTTCCCAGAGTTCCTTGTAGGGGAAGCAGGACTATAACATTCTGTTGAGCTTAGCCGTGCTTGTGACCTGCTGATCTGTGAGCTGTGTGCCCGATTCCCCGAATGGAAATAGAGAAAGTCTCCTACTAGTTTGGGTCAGGCTCCACTGCGTAACTGCTATTTCACATTTCCTGCTCCCCTACCCTCAAGCTCTGTGCTAACTCACTCCTAAATATTTGGTCTGTGACAAAAACGAGTTTATAGGTTAAGCCCTGGAATGCTAGAGGGAAAAGAGGAACGTTGGTAGAAGAGTGGAAAGTAGCTTCGGCTGGGTTCTTCAGAACTGGATGCTGAAGGAGGAATTAATGCCCAATGTCGCACTGAAAACCTCTGTTTTTCCTGTCCCTCTGGTCCAGGTTGAACGCTGTTACTACTTTTTAAATGCCTTCGTGGAAACGGCTCAGAAAAAGGAGCCTGTGGAAGGAAGGCTGATACAGTTCCTGCTCTCCAACCCCACGAACGACGGTGGACAGTGGGATATGCTGGTCAATCTTATCGGTAAGAGCACTGGTCAGCTGGGGCCCTTCCTGAAGTTGCACACTGCTTTGAGATAAGGGAGGAACAGAAGAAATTGAGTTTGAGAGCTGAAATTTGCTAAGGAACATGCCATTACCCAATGCCATTTTTTAATCAAAGACCTTTTTCAGGCCAACTTATAAATATTAACCTTAAATTTTCTCTGGGGTCTTTGCTCTTGGCATATTGCTGATCACAGAAGCTCAGATCAGCAACTGGTGTAATGGGATATCCCAGACTTTCCATTTAGTAGAAAGGTTCAGGCATGGACACCATTTGTTTATATCCATGTATACAATTCTTAGGGCACAGAGTAAGGAAACAACACTGCTAGACCAGGGTGTGCCTACAGCTGCAGAACCAAAACCAAATAGGTTGCAGCCTGAAGAAAGATGGTATGAAGATCAGTGAGAGGGAAATGATGAGGAATGTGGCCGTGCTGGTCTTGCAGAGATCCAGCTTGATCGGGATCTTCCTTACACTGATGAAGGAGATACTCCTATCTAAATTACACTGGCATTTGCTTTCATTTGTGTTGTGAAACAACGCGATGCCTTTTGTACATCAAGTCTGTAATGTAAGTTTAGACTCACAAAAGGAATTTGTTTCCTTGAAGCCTGGGGGTTAGGTTTTTTTGCCATCCCAATGTTCTAAATATTTAACCAGGGCAGAGAAGATTTTGGATGTTGCTGTTACATCCAGAGCATTGCATGGTGCCATCTCAGATTGGTACCATAACATAGGAAGCAGTGGAGCTGTTGCAGGTGTTTCGTAAATGCTGAGAAGGAAAGGAGACTGGGAAGTCATAGCATCACAGAATGGTTTGGGTTGGGAGGGACCTTAAAGCCCACCCAGTCCCACCCTCTGCCATGGGCAGGGACACCTTCCACCAGACCAGGTTGCTCCCAGCCTCATCCAGCCTGGCCTTGGACACCCCCAGGGATGGGGCATCCACAGCTTCTCTGGGCAACCTGTCCCAGGGCCTCCCCACCCTCTCTGGGAAGAATTCCTTCCTGCTATCCAATCTAAACCTCCCCACTTTCAATTTAACCCTGTTACCTCTTGTCCTGTTGCTACAGGCCCTTGGAAAAAGCCCTCTCACAGCTTCCTTGTAGGCCCTTTCAGGTTAAGTCAGTCACTTAACCTTAGATAAAATCCATGGAATAAGAGGCCCAGGTTTTTAGAAGATAATTCAGTAGCTTAATATTCAAGTAATCATTCTTTTTCTGGTGAAAAGAGCTTTTTAAAAAGCACAGGTTAGTTCAGAACTCTGAAGTGTTGGATTAAATGATACTGAGCAGTCCAGGGATTCCACCTTTTGGCACTCCTGTGGAATGTGGGTCAGAGGTCAAGATTCAGTCACAAATTAAAATGTAAACTTTGAGTACTTGTAACCTTTGAATAAGAGACTTTCCCTTACAATCTCTGCATTGAAACGGACTGTATTTAGCTTTTACGTGGGAGAAGTGGACGCACTAGCGTCTTCTGGGCAGGAAAGAGTTGTTAACCCATAGCTTTATTATTTCTAGAAAAGTATGGTGTTGTCCCCAAGAAATACTTCCCGGAGTCTCATACCACAGAGGCAACCAGAAGGATGAACGAGATCCTGAACCATAAGGTAAAATTGATTTAGGCCCTACAGATGGAGGGGGATGGGAATGGCTCTGTTCCAAGTGTTGCTACGCTACTGTCTCTTTATTGACCAAAGTACTAAATGCATCTCGGCAACTTAACTTGCTTTTATTCAAAAAGCAGCCTAAAGTCTTGGCGAAGTCTGCTGTTCATCTCGGAACATGGAGCAGGAAGGTGTTTCTGGGAGCTGGCCTTTGCCAGGCTTCAGGAGCCTCAAAGTACCCCACGTGCTTTCAGTAGCAACTGCTCCTCATCCTCCAATTAATTCTTGATGAGTGGCTGACGAAGTCTCTTTCTGCAAAGCTAGCACTTGGTGTCTAGGTGACTTTTCTCTGCCCCTCGGTATTTCATTTACCAGTACTCTGGGGTTTCTACTGCCAAATGGGATGGAAAATAGATTAAAAATGTATTTTCAAACCACTGAATCTTAAAAATCAGCTTTTAGTATAGGGGTGTGCAGCTTTGCCTGAAGGCAGGTGTAAGCTGGCTCCCTAAACTACGACGTGAATGAGTGTGGGGAGGTGCTAGTGTGGACAGCTAGATAAAAAGGGTAATTAAAGCATTTTTTTACAGTGGGCTTTGATTACTTTTTCTTTTCCAGTTCCTATGGTACGTGCTCAGGGGAAACTGCTGAGATCCACATAAAAAATGTAAAATAGGTGCTGAAGTGAGCTCAGATGTAACGAGTGGTGGTAATGTTATCATAGTCCTGAGCGCAGCAAACCAGCTGGCCTCGTGGGAGCCCTGCTCCCTGTTCCTGGCCTTGGGGATGGTGACAGTAATGGGAGGCACCTGCCGCTCTGGGGTGTTTCTGCCTGCAGCGGGGAAATGCTCCCTCCTTCATCAGCTGGGGGATCAGATATGTGTTAGAACTGCAAAATCAGTTTTGCAGCCTGAAGACAGTCTGTTCTGCGAGTCACGGAGGTGGTGGGGTGTATGGAAGTTGCAGCAGCTGTTACAGAGCCGAGGGAGATCAAGCCTTCGGGAGAGCTAATGGCTGTAAGCTTCAAATCAGTGGCTGGAAACCAGTAATTGCGTTGCAACTATTTGTTAATCTCAAGTCTTTTAAATCATTCAGTTATCTTGATTTTTTTTTTTAAAGAATCCATACCTAACAAAGCCTGAAAGGGATTTTCTTTTCCTTTTGAGAACAGGTTCTGAAGAGTAAAATAGGTGCATGAAACAACCAGGTGGGAAGTTCTGAAAACTGATTAGGTGGCACTGCTCACACCCTTACAATAAAATTACTTTCTCCTCAAACAGATGAGAGAATACTGCTTGCGGCTAAGAAACATGGTGGAAAGTGGAACACTTAAAGGAGAACTCTGTGCTGCAATGGACACGATGATAGAAGAGGTAAATCACTGGTGTGACACCAGTCTTGGAACACGAGGCTAGAATGGGTGAGATTTCTTGCCTGCTCTTATCCCGCCGATATTGGATGAGCCAAAACAAGTGCCAGGGGTTTGTGTAGCCGTGTGCTTGGCGGTTTTGATTTTGAAGTGGCTTGTTGCTGATTCCATTCTGAATTTTTCTGATGCTTCTAGGCAAATGTCCCAAATCTATAGATGGCAGCACTGTGACATTTTAGAGGCATCTGCCCCATGCTGTAGGGAAGCAGCATGTTGTTTCTTGAGAGATCATCAGGCTTTTATGAACGGTAGCAAGGAGATGGGTTGAAAATTGCATTTTGATGGCCTTCAGTATCTTGCAGCACAGGTGTTGTGTCAGAAACTCCCCACAAGAGAGCAGTGAAGAACCACAGAAGGGGCTGCTCTGCCTTATGGAAGGATGTGAGCTGGGCACAAGGCTGCATTCAGCTGTGCTCCGATACTGGGGCGCAGCAGAGGGAGGAATCGCAGCATCTGCTTCTGGCTGTTTGAATCCACTCAAAAATGACTTGAGTCAGCAGGGCTGATGTGCATGATGTGCAGCGTGTGTAGCAGCTGGTCCTCCAGCGGGTCACGCGGAGTATGACAGTGACACATCTCATTTGTCTTATCAAGTAGGAGAACTACTGAGTTCTTAAATGGAGAAAAGGAGTTTTAAAAGCTCAGACTGTTTCAGTTTAGCCAGGTGTCTGCATTTAGAAGTGTGCATGTAGTGTTTCTCAAGCATACGATGCCAAGTGACCCAGTGGTTTTGGTGTCTGTCACTAGATTACTCCGTAGTCCTGATTAAGTGTGTTTTAGTTTTTCTGCCATCCAGTAAAAATCAGGGTTAGGCAGAGCCTACCCTGGGCTGTTTCTGTAAAGCTTCAGGCAGTTCCACTGATAAGCAAATATTATGTTGGTTGGGTTTTTGGAAATTCATCTTTGCCCTTTGTGTAAAAACCTGTAGGTTCTTTTTTTATCTAATTTTAAGATTAGATTGAAAAGGAAAACTGCTTCGTGTTCCTCGGGTCATACCACTGAAACCTCATCAGCAGTAGTTCTGTGCCTTGAACCCACCCTGTTACATTGCTGACCAGCCCTTGGCTCAGAAGGGAATTAACATGCATCCAGTGTGTGTCCGAAGGCCCCTGGAGGGTCTCGCAGCAGACATAAAAATGTCCTAGAGACGTTCACATCCAGGGCACTGACATGCGGGTCACTGCAAATGTCTGTTCAGAGCATCCTACCCTCCGACAAGGGATCCTCCAGCCGGTGTTAAGGGCTCGTTAATGGCAGTTTCCACTCTCGAAGGCGGTCGTGCCTCATCCTCTGAGGCTGGCGCAGGATCTTCTCCTGCAGTAGCAGTGGCAGGTTGCAGCTTAAGTGGATTTATTTTCCGTAAACGCTGTGATTCAATTATGCGATTGCTGCTGTCTCGCATACTTGACAAACGCTCAGTTTTGAGGTCCGAGGCTGCTCTTGTGTCATCTGTTTATACGTCTGTTGCATCTGGTTTTGCATGAGGCAGAGCAGACGGTGGTCTTGCCCGGTGGAGCTTGATTTGCGGAGCAGATCTTGGCTCTCGTGCTGGGAGGCCCCGCTCCAGTGAGGATGGGGTGATTGTACGGGAGCACAAGGGTAAATATTCACTCCAGAACTCTCTAAACATTCTTATCACACCAGTGCACAGCAGGTCAGGAGATGAAATCAGTGCAGTGTGTGTGATGGAATTTGTCTTCCGTTACTGTTGCCTCCCCCCCACCCCCCATTCCTTTTGGGTTTTGGCACAAGCCGCTGCGTCTTTGCCTTATCTTGGCTCTAGCTGTTGTTAGAGTGATGTAAGTCACCTTTCAGTTGAAATATGTCACCTGATGTTATTGATAGAGGAAATGTGTGAGATGCTAAGAGATGGCCTGCGAGGGGTGTGGTGGCAAAACAATTGAGGGAGGCTGTTCCAAGGCCCCACTGTATGTCAGCCTGAGACTCCAGTCTCCATCGTTTTCCTTCCTCTGGCTGGAGCCCGCTTGCTCGTGGCTCTCCTCAGGCATTTTTCATCCTTATTTTCATGTGGGGTTATCGGAGGTAAGGTGGGTGTATCCACAGCAAAGCCTACCTTTTGTGCAGCCTGTGCAAGATTAAATATTTACGGTAGTTAAAGAGCAGATGTAAATCCCTATTTATTGAGAAATAAATGTGTGAGTTCTGCCAGTAAGAAACACTAAGCCCACACCCTTGTTTCAACCCATAATTAATCTCTTCACTTGTTTTCTTGAGTTGCTTGGAGCAAGAACACCTTTATTTGTATTTTGGGTGCAGCCAAAGAGTGTTACTTAGCACGAGCACGGTGTTCCTCTTGCCATCAGCACAGAGCGCTCGCTGGCACAAAGCTGCTGCTTCTGGAGCCTCGGGATCTGTGCAAATCAGCTCGATTGCCTCCAGGAAGAGAAATATTCTGTCTCCCCTCCTGTGAAAAGTCAGAGCGTGCAGACTGACAGCTTAGGAACGCTGGCAGAAGCCACAGGCGTTGGATCCTAGTCGAGAAGGTGCAGTTGGGGTTTGACTCCCCCTAACCTGAAATAACCTTTTGGTTCCTTGCAAGGAAAAGACTTGCCTTGTGTTCAGGACAGGGCCGGGGCTGAAGGAGACCAGTGTCAGCTGAAGTAAACCAGATTCAAACCTGTTTAAATAGGATGGAATTCTCTGTCCCCAGAGTACCTGTGGCAGGGCCTGCTGAGTATCCCTGAAGACAGTCATCTGGTGATGCTGCCTATGAGTTAGCATGTTTTGTGAGAGCCCTGTGAGAAAGTGCAGCAGGGATGATGACTTGAAATGTGGTCAGCATTTTGGGGCAAAGCTCAGTAGAAAGCTGCCAGCTGTGAAGGATGGCCCAGGCAGGGATCTTGAATGTAATTGCATAACCTGCCATCTCAACCCTAAACTGTTTCATGTATTGCAACTGGGGAAGACTGTCCTGGCCTTGCTGCTTTTCCAAAGCCTCGTGGTTACAATCCAAATGGACATTACAGGAAAGAAAGGATTAGTACGGGGGAAGCGGTGGGATAAAATGCTCTGCTGAGTGCCTGTTAGGAGGTCTGGCTTGTCTCTGCGCAGGGCAGGGCACCTGCTGGAGGGCTGATGCTGGGTGCCTAAGCCTTGCTAGAATCATATTGATTAAGTTTCTCCTGCACTGGGAAATGTCCTGGTTGGAGGAGCTTCAGAACAACTTAAGGATGGTTGGAATGAGGCTGGGCAGCGTATTGGCCTTGGCGTTTGGCTGCTGCATTCCTAGGATAACCAGCACTTAACCCTAACCTTCTGTTTTCCCTCATGGTTTATAGGAGAATGTCGGGTGTGAGATTGTTGGGTTTCTTGTGGCCTTTCAGATTGTTTGAACTGTTGAAACACCTAGATGTCTGGAGCTGAGTGAAAACAATTCACGTGTGAATGCTTATTCATGTTCTTCAAAGGTGACTGTTGAGGTATTTCTCCAGCCGGTTCTCCTGTGGAGAACTCCCTTGATCCGTGGCACCACTGTGGTAGGAGAGACAGACCCTCATGCTTCAGCGAGCTCACTGCCCTTTGCTTCTCTGGGCAGGTGTTCCGAATAGTGAGTACTTGCCTGGGCAGCCCTCCGGAGAACTTCTGCTGGGAGTTCCGGGATAAGGAGAAGAACTACCACAAATACGGCCCTGTGACACCGGTCCAGTTCTACAACGAGCACGTCAAGCCTTACTTCAACATGGAGGACAAGGTTGGGCCTGCTGAAAGGCAGTAGCTTCCCAAGATGTGGGGGTTTTGTGCTGCTAAGCCACTTACTTCCCACTGTTGCAAGTGCACTGTCCACCCTGTGGCATGGGGACCGCTCCCACAAGTTGATGGCCCCGTATTTATCCTCCACCTTCTCCCGCTGGTGCTCTACCCTTCAATTAGCTGTGATCTCACACTGCAGTCCGTGGTTTTGTAACGATAAATACAGTGGTCAAATCAGACGTAAAATGCCGTAAGACAGCCACTGGAGAGCAGCAGTGACCTGCGGAGCCATGATCTTAAACCAAAAAAACCCCAAACAAGACCCTGAACCTGGTATTTCAGCCGAGTGGGTTGGTGGTGGATGGGATGGAAGTGATTCTCTGAAATCAATCTAGATTCACTTCTCTGATTTCGGTTACGTCTCACCTTAACTTGTGACAACTTGGCTTTTGGCAGATTTGTCTAGTAAACGATCCTCGACCTCAGAACCCGTACAACAGGCTGTACACGGTGGAGTACCTGGGCAACATGGTAGGAGGGAGAAAAACACTCTACAACAACCAGCCTGTCGATGTCTTGAAAAAATTAGCTGCTGCATCCATTAAGAATGGCGAGGTTGGTCTGGTTTCTCCTCGTGGGTGGTGTGGTGCTGCTCTTGTAACATAAAACTCACGGGGATGTGGCCTAGACACGACTCTTCCTTCCGTTGTAGGCTGTGTGGTTTGGCTGCGATGTTGCAAAGCACTTCTACGGCAAGCTGGGAATCAACGACTTGAATATGTAAGTAGAAGATCAAAACTGAGTGTCATTTGGGAGACTTGGCTGGGACATAAGCAGAGGGAACTAATCTGTACATACTTTGGGTTATGTACCCAAAAAGGGCATGTTTAATTTGGCTGCAACAGAATTTTTTCCATTTGTTAGCTAAAGTCTGAATCCTTTACAGATACACTGTGATTGTTAAATATTCTTGTTTGAATCATCCGGTGTCTTGTGAGAAGCTCCTAAGGGGATCAGTCTCCTGCACTCATTCTGACACTGAATGTTGTTGAACTCGTACGCCTGTGCACGGGCTCCCGGTGCAGCGTGGCCTACCCTGACAGAGTCCCGCGAATCCTCCCCGCATCCTTTGTGACGCTGCTGATGTGGCTCTCTACTAGATTTAATCACGAGCTGGTGTTTGGTGTCTCCATCAAGAACATGAACAAGGCGGAGAGGTTAATCTTCGGAGAATCCATGATGACCCATGCCATGGTCCTGACAGCCGTCACCGAGAAGGTAGAGTCCACCTCCTGAAGCCGTGGTGCTTGTGATGTATGTGAATATTCTGGAGGGTTGTTTGTGTTCCGGGCTCATTCCCGGGGGGTAAGCTGTTGGGCTGGGGTTCGGCGTGTGTGCCACAACACCCTGGTGCACAAGGCTGAGGCTGTTGGAGTGTTCAAAGGGATAATTAACAGGGAGGGAGGAATTTTAGACAAGTACTTCTTTCCTTCTACCTGCAAACGTTCACTGGAGAAAGGGAATAGAAAGCCAGGTTCTAGTTTTGAGGTACCAGAAAACCTATGTGAACGGATTTTTAAATGCAGATTCTGGTGTATGTTGCTGAGCAAGGAGTCCAGCACGGCAGCAAGCATTTCCCTCCCCACCCCGCTGCGTGGCTTAGCCCAGCCTGTGTTACAGCCTCCTGTCCAGATGCCAGCAGGAGGCACTTTGCGACAGTCCTAACCTCCCGCAGCTCAGTGGCATGTGACCTCCCCGACCCACTCATAACTGGGGAAGGAAAAGGGTGTCCAAAATAGCTCTGTGGCGGACAGTAGGCTGAGATGAAGCCACAGCTCAGTCTGTTCTTGGCAGTATAACAAAGCACATGCGAGGTAAAACAGAACCATGTGAAAATTTACAACTTGGGGTTATCCGTGATGTCGATGTTTTCCATTAATTTCCAGAAGTTGTCATTATTAAAGTTGCTTTGAAGTGATCTCTTCCTGTCCAACGTGACCTTGGCTTGAGAAGCAACAGCTTGCATGTAACCGAAAGCTTGCTGGAGCTCTGCAGTTTGAGGGCTTGATGGGACTCTTGAGTCATAAGAGTTTTTGAGTTACTTTTTATGACTCTGTGTAACTTTTCCTGCTGTGTTCTGCATTCTGAGCTCTTCATGCCTCTGTTCTGCATATGAGTGCATGAAAACATCTTTAAAAAGCTTTTAATCATTTCTCTGATACTAAAAATGGTACTTCTGGACTGTTGAAGGCTTCACAGCTGGAGTGGATGTACTGATCGTGCCCAGTGGCTGTGCTTCACTGGCAGCTGTTAATTAGTCCGTGGCCTGAATTTTTACACTCAGGATTCCGTGTGCCTAAACATATAGCTGCATGAAGTGTGATCGAATGTGACCCAATTCCTTTAAGGAAAGGGTGTGTCAAAGATCCGTAGCTCTGAAGTCACAAGGTAGTTTAAAAGAGTTTATCCCAGGTCAAGTTCAGTGTTTAGAGGCTTTTCCACATCCAAAATGGGCTAAGTTGTTTCTTCTTGTTTGAATGTGGAATCACAGAATGGTTTTGGGGGGGAGCCACCAGTCCCACCCCCTGCCATGGGCAGGGACACCTTCCACCAGACCAGGTTGCTCCAAGCCTCATCCAGCCTGGCCTTGGACACTTCCAGGGATGGGGCATCCACAGCTTCTCTGGGCAACCTGTCCCAGGGCCTCTCCACCCTCTGCGGGAAGGATTCCTTGTGATGTCCCATCTCAATCTCCCTCTTTCAATTTAAACCCGATACCCCTTTGCCTGTTGCTACAGGCCCTTGTAAAAAGCCCCCCCCAGCTTCCTTGTAGGCCCCTACATGTTGTTAATGTCCTGTTTTATATTAAACCTGAACTTAATCTAAAGGAGCTTTGATAAACAGTTGTAAAAATGTAATACTTTGGATTTACCTACTTTATGAAAAGGCTTTGAAGATTGAAAAAATCCTATTACCATCTTACAACATAAAATTGATGTGGATTAAATGCACCTTTTGGTTAAAAACTTGATGTACATAAACCTGTTTATCCCAGTTTGCCTGGCAGCATCAAGAGCAGATGCACCCTCAGTCTGGTAGCTCTGGTGCATGTTAAGGGCTGTTCTGTCTTGTCTAATGTGAGAACAGGGGTGATGCAGCCAGGTTCCAATGAATACTAAAAATGTATTTGTGGGGTGTTTTCCAGGTTA